ATAATAATAATAATAATAATAATAATACCTTTCGATTTATTGATCGCTCAGTCCTGCAGGGCTGCTGGCTCTGAGCGATTTACAGTTACACAGGTTTTCACAAGTGCGTAACAATGATGGGGGTAAGGGAGGACAACATATAATTCTTTAAATCGCACACATTTGCAGCCGACGGGGCTTTTGTTCAGCTGAAGGCTTCAGTCGTGTTCCGGGCGGCATTTATTTCGGCTTGGCTTGATGATGTTAGTTCTTCCTGGGCTGGCTTTGAGTCGTAGCGCCGCACTGCCACCGCCTGGCCGGATTGGCCCGTTACAGGCTTCTTGATGCCGAAGAGGTCTTTTTTCCAGGCTTCCAAGCTTCACAGCTGGACGTTCCATTTGCCGGCTAACACCTCCCCTACGGGGGTTTAGTGTGCCCACCCTCTCTAAGGAGTGGTACCCATTTTATCTACTCGCCGAAGCTTTCGAACCACTGGGTGGACGGCGAGCTGGAGACAAGGCTGGTAGCTCACACCAGCGCGGGCTAGAACTGACAGCAACTCTGTTCAGTTCAGATGTTAACCAGAGGATAAATCCTCTGTGCCACCGCTCCCCTTTACATAAACATTTACTTTTGAAGCGGAGAGTTTGGTGGACTAGGGGGGGGGGGCACAGGACAGTCTGAGGGACAAATTGATTCCCAGCTGGGAGGATTGAGTGTGATCAACTTGGTGAGTCTCAAAAGTCGTTTCAAGTCTCCCCCACCCCCTAAAGGTCCCCACTGAGCAGAGGCAATTCTGAGCTTCCGGGGTCTCTTCCCGAGTTAGACGAGGGTGCTGGAGCAGAGTTGTCAGAGCTGGGGTGGGAAATACCTGAGATTTTGGAGGTGGAACCTGGGGAAGGTGGGATTTGGGGAGGGGAGGGGAGGGGAGGGGCCTCAGGAGGGAGGGTGTAATGACGCAGAGTCCACCCTTCAGAGCAGCCATTTTCTCCAAGGGAGCTCATCTCTGTCAGCTGGAGGCCAGTTGTAATAGTGGGAGGTCTCCAGGTGCCACCTGGAGGGCTGGCAACCCTGCACCAGAGGCTCCTGGCATTAACTCTGTATTTACAGTAAGTCAGGCAAGGCAACGACCCTTGTCCTGTCGGAAAATCAGTCCAGCCTCCTGCTTTTGAGACATTCTCCTGCAGACCACCTCAAGAAGACTTCAAAATTGCTCTCTATCTCCTTCTTCTTCTTCTTCTCCTCCTCCTCCTCCTCACACGACCAGTTGCTGTGGAGGGTCAGAGAACAGGACACAGAGATCTGGATCTCAGAGGCTTCCTGCCTCGGGCTGTGGAGGTTCTAGAGATGCCAGCCTCCAGGTGGGACCTGGGGATCCCCTGGGAATTACCACTCATCTCCACACTACAGAGATCAGTTCCCCTGGAGAAAACGGACACTCTGTGTGCCCCACTGAGGTCTTTGCCCTCCCCAGGTTCCACCCCCAAATCTCCAGGACTTTCCCAACCTGGATCTGGCAACCCATAAGCAACGCTCCCTCTCAGAGGTGGAGTCTTGTGAGCAAAAATTCTACTTTGTGAGCTGCTGGCATTCAAGTTGTGAGCGAGCGATTTGGCTGCTGCATCAATTAGTTTGCTCTGGAGCCCCATCCTTCCTGAGCTAAGACAAAAACGTGTGAGCCAGAGGCTAAAAAACTGTGAGCTAGCTCACACTAACTCAGCTTAGAGGGAACACTACCCATAAGTCACCCTCTGGCTGGTGGCCACTGATGGACCTCTCCTCCGTGAATCTCTCTAGGCCCCTTTTAAAGTCATCTATGTTCGTGGCCCCTGCAGAACATTACTCATTGAGAAGACAAGTATTTAAGAACATAAGAGACGCCAGTGTTGGATCAGGCCAAAGGCCCATCCAGTCCAACACTCTGTGTCTCACAGTGGCCAGAAATACCAGGTGCCATCAGGAGGTCCACCAGTGGTGCCAGGACATTAGAAGCCCTCCCACTGTTGACCCCCCCCTCCCCAAGCACCAAATTTCCATTTGTCTTTCCGGAACCCACAATTCTGTGTCCTCAAGTTTTAGCACTGCCAGAAAAAGCTCTCTTTCCCCGCTCTCTCCACCCCAGGCATAATTGGATAGACCTGTGTCGTGTCCCCCCTTGGTCATCTCTTTCTCTAAACTGAAAAGTCCTGGACTCCTTGGACTTGTGCTCCAGCACTTCAGTTGTCTTGGTTGCCGCCTTCTGCACTCCCGGCCCTCCACTCTGTCTTTTAAGGGCTCAGGAGACTTCAGCTTAGAGCTCCCAGGTCCCCAGTGGCCACCGGCGGGGGGTGGGGGTCAATGTTCCCTCTAAGCTGTAGAGTCTTGTGAACAAAAATTCTACTTTGTGAGCTACTGGCATTAAAGTTGTGAGCAAGTGATCTGGCTACTGCATAAATTAGTTGGCTCTGGGGCCATCCTTCCTGAGCTAAGACAAAAATGTGTGATCCAGAGGCTAAGAAACTGTGAGCTGGCTCACACTAACTCAGCTTAGAGGGAACACTGGTGGGGGTGAGGGTTACCAGGTCCAGGCTGGGATCTCCTGGAGATTTGGGGTGGAGCCTGTGGAGGACAAGGGGGACCTCGTCAGTGGGGGACAGTGCCATTGTCGCGATACGCCTCTGCCTCCTCCTCCTCCCCCTCCCCGCCTGACGCTGTCATCCCGGGTACCCCTCGGGTCACCCCCCCTTGGCCCTTAACTGCGAGGAGCCCCACAGGTCTCAGGTCAAAGGTGGGCAGGGGAGGAGGTTACATCACCACCTTCCACCTGCCAGGACAGCCGTAGAGCCCACCCTCCAAAGCATCCGTTTTTCTCCAGGGGAACTGACCTCTGTAGTCTGGAGAGGAGCAGTAATTCTGGGGGGTCCCCAGGCCCCACCTGGAGGCTGGCATCCCTACTTCAGCTGGAGGAGGGGGGGGGGTTCCACTTGGCATCTATTTGAGTGTGCTCTTATAGGCAGGGCTCTTTTTGTAGAAAAAGCCCAGCAGGAACTCAGTAGCATAACAGGCCACACTCAACGGCCGAAACATATTAGCATATTAGGCCACACCCTGCCACCACAGCTCATTCGCATATTAGGCCGCACCCACGTGTTGCCAAGAGTGTGGTCATCCAGCCACACCCACCTTTTGCTTGTTATTCTGTTTACCTTGTTTGTCGACAAAACCCAGGGCCTTTTTTTGTAGCAGGAACTGCATTGCATGTTAGGCCACACACCCCTTATGTAGCCAGTCCTGATGAGTTCCTGCTGTTGGGTGTGGCCTGTTATGCTAATGAGTTCCTGCTGGGTGTGGCCAACTCGGGAGCCAGCCGGAACTCCGTTCCTGTGCGTTCCTGCCCAAAAATAGCCCTGCTTATAGGGTAATAATTGTGGCAAGTCTCTCATTATGCTGTTGAGTCATTGGGTGAGAGTGGGAGCCAAGGGCTTCTCCCAGCCCTTGAAAGCATCGGGCCGAGCGCCTCCCAGTCTGAGCTCATCCGGCGGCAGCGGCGGCAGCACCTCGGGCAGCATCACACGACCGACCGTCGTCGCAGAAGAGCCAGCCGAGGCTGCCTCCTCTCTGTGCCCCTGTGACGTTCCCAGCCTGCTTGAGACTCACTCGGCCTGTCTTGTTTTCGGTTCCCCTCAGAGCCCGGCCTGTGGTGGTCATCGAGGCCCAAGTGCTGGTGCCAGAAGCGCTGAACCCCGAGGAGAAAAGCTGCACGGTGTCGAAAGTGGAAGTCAGCTGGTGAGCTGGGAGGGGGGGGACAAGCTTTACGGAGCCCGAGGGCGAATAATCAGTCCAGGGTCCCCTGCCAAGTTCCCCTCCAGTTCTTTGTTCAAAATTAGCTCCGCGTATCTGGAAAACGAATGACGCTTTGCTTTGCTTTCAGGGTGGTTGAGGGGAGAGCGTTCTCTTCTCATTGCCTTGGGCTGAGGCTGGAATCTTTGTGGGTAGATTGAGGCGGGGGCAGCCGTGTTGGTCGGAAGCGGCAGAACAAAGTTTTTAGTCCGGGTGCCCCTTGAAGACCGACAAAGTTTAATTCTGGGCATAAGTCCTTTCTTGGTCCTAAAGGGGCCACTGGACTCCAAACTTTGCTCTGTAACTGTGTTTTAGAATCGTTTTAGCAATTGGGTTACTTACAGGTTGGGCAGGCATAATCTGTCCCAGAAGCAACTTGCAGAAAGATACCAGTTTATCTTTCTGAGAAATGGGCTTGCTGCACGCCGCCCGCTCGCCGTGCCGTGCCGACCGGAAGTCCTATCTAGTTTACCCAAGGATGTGTTCGACATCCACTCTACTCATAAAAATGGTAAAGGTAAAGGTCTCCCTTGCTCGAAAGCCAGTCAGATCCGACTCTAGGGTTGCAGTGCTCATCTCCGTTTCCAAGCCGAAGAGCCAGCGCTGTCCGAAGATGTTTCCGTGGTCATGTAGCCGGCCTGACTTAACACCAAGGCGCACGGAATGCTGTTACTCTACTCATAGTCAACTCTAAACCATTTATCTAGTATGTCTTGAAGTCCCCTCTGCCATGGTATGCTGCTGAAAACCGTGCAAGGGGCCGTTGCTTTCCTTGACCTATCCTGTGCCCTGCAGCTGTTCCTCTTGCTGATTGGGGGGGGGGAGAAGGAAGGTGGCCTTTAATCCCAGGAGAATACAGTTGGTTTGGACACCTGGCTTCCTGGCCACCCACCCACCCACATGCATGCGTAGGATTTTTAAACTTGATTTTTAGAAATGATCTGACGCTGACACGAGTAGACCTGGTTCTCTGGCCGAGCCACTGCTTGGGGTGGCACCAATGTGGAGTGCCCTGCTGGGGGTTGGCTGCTTCCCAGTCATCAATAGCAGCAGGCCAGAGGTTTGGCTTGGGCCCAGATGGCGGTGGTATGGCTGAGGTGGGGAAGGCTATTCCTTGCTGGGGCAACCAAGTACCTTGACCTCCATCCCTGCATGTCAGGTTCAAAGGTAGAGCCACCTGGCTCCTCTCTGAGCATGATGCCCGCAAACATGCTACATTTAAAGAATGCAACTGGAACTCTCAGATAAGGAGAAGGGGCAGACCTGGGGTCGTGGGGAAGGAGGCAGCAGGACCAGAGGTCATTTCCTGCCGGAGCGCCCCGGAGCGGTGCTCCGGCAGTAAGGAGCCCAGGCCCCCTCCCACGGAGAGACTCGGGGGGGATTTAAATGCCTGGGTTCCCTGCCCAATCTTCTCCAGGTGCCCCATGGCTGCGGGGCACCTGGAGAAGATCGGGCAGGGAACCTAGACATGCCTGCCTTTCCCTCTGAGCCTCTCTGCTTTTGTGGAGAGACTCAGGGAAGGGGGGGAGGATTTAAACTCATTTGCGTATGCCTTAACTCATTTTAAACATGCCTGCCCTTTGTCAGGGGGTGTGGCATATGCAAATGAGTTATGCAAATGAGCTCCTGCACCTCTTTTTCTAGGAAATGACCCCTGAGCAGGACAGGGAAGGAACTGGGACTAGTCTGCACTAAGAGGCAGGAAGGGACAAAGAAGTCACTGGACAATGTGGAGAGTCTGGTTACCGCTCTGAATGCGCCCCCCCCCAGCAAAAGCAGAGGCTCCGTCTAGTGGGCGATAAGTGATCAACAACTATTCACTGCTCAAGATCAATGTATCATAGAGCTTTTATGGGACGAAAGGAAAAAGCATAGGCCGGGTCCGTATCTGCAGGTTTCATCTTTCTAAAAATCTTTCTCAAAAACAGGGATCATTTCCTGCTGGAGCGCCCCGGAGCGGTGCTCCGGCAGTAAGGAGCCCAGGCCCCCACCCACGGAGAGACTCGGGGGGGGGATTTAAATGCTTGGGTTCCTTGCCCGATCTTCTCCAGGTGCCCCATGGCTGCGGGGCACCTGGAAAAGATCAGACAGGGAACCTAGAAATGCCTGCCTTTCCCTCTGAGCCTCTCTGCTTTTGTGGAGAGACTCAGGGAAGGGGGGGAGGATTTAAACTCATTTGCGTATGCCTTAACTCATTTTAAACATGCCTGTCCTTTGTCAGGGGGTGTGGCATATGCAAATGAGTTGTGCAAATGAGCTCCTGCACCTCTTTTTCTAGGAAATGACCCCTGAGCAGGACAGGGAAGGAACTGGGACAAGTCTGCACTAAGAGGCAGGAAGGGACAAAGAAGTCGCTGGACAACGTGGAGAGTCTGGTTGCCGCTCTGAATGCGCACCCCCCCCCCATGAAGCCAGCCCCCGCTCTCTTTTCCCAAAGCTCCTTTAGGGCCACTGCTGTAATGCAAAATGATAATGTGTGAATGCAACCAATGAGTGCTTGCAAACTTGTGTCTCATACAAGTACACCACTGGGGAGCCACCTTGTATAGAAAAATTGCTTTCTGCTTCTATATCCACATGGCTTCTCCTGTGATGTCTTTTGATACCATGCTCTCTTTTTCCTGTTGCAGGCCAAACGGTCCAGGGCAGACCAAATGGCCTGAACTACCTCAATAGCCATGCCATATAACCACACATTCTTTCACACCTCTAAGTGGAAGAGCCAGACTTGATGGCTCCTGGCTCTAGCCCACATGCAACAAGTCACGTAGGCAATGGAGAAGCTGGAGTTTGGGTCATGTGACTGCAGGCGTGGTCTCCAAACTTCTAGCCTATCCTCACATGCAGCTATGACAACCAACAATTGGGCACATCCCCTGTCCGCTCGTGATTGGCTGATGGCCACGGCTGATCATGAATGGAATTGGCATATAATTGATTGATTCCTATGAGAGGGAGCGCTCTGCTCTCAGCTCTTCCTTCTTGTCATTGCCTGTTTTATTGCACCTGGAAATGCTGTCTCTTGGAAGACAAAGAGCTGCTTTGTGAACTGGAGCACATGGGTGCAAGGATGGGATTTCTCTTCAAAATCCTTTGGTGTCTAATTGGACTGTATACCTTGGACACTCTTGGAATATGGACACTTCACTGGTAACTATGAATATCTTTAATGTGTAGTTAAGGCGCAGAGCCATAGGTTTTTCTTGTTTTCAGTAATCTCTTATATAGTCTGTTTTGCTATGCTCTGTACTGAATAAAAATTATTCTTATTTCTAATGGGTCTCTGACGTTGTAACTTGTATTCCAAGCCTAGATCTTGTAGCCTGACGCTCCCCACACATGCTACCTTGGTAAGAGTGTGCATCTCTATATTGAGTTGCTAATGTGTTTTGTCCCAGATGCCAACTAAGGGTTTGGAATCTCTCCCTTAGGAAAGGCAGGGACTAGTGAAAGAGGTTCTGGTGGCAAATTGTTCTGAAACCAGAGGGGGTATAGACCATCTCGTGGTTTGTTGTTTAATGTACTGAAAAGTACAGGATTCCCTCCCATTCCTGGACTGGCTTGGGTGGGCAAAGACCTGTACATGGTGGCAGCGGTGTCTCCTGTACATGGCGGTAGCGGTGTCTCCTGTACATGGTAATCCTGTACATGGTGGCCTTAGCGTGGGATCTATGAACTGGAATTCAGTTACACACCTCTTCCTGTCCAAGTGTACATGGACTGAAAAACCGAAGTTCGCTGCCCCAAAATGTGTGAAATGACCCTCATCAGCTTCCTGTTCATCTCCACAGCTTCACCATCCAGATGTGTGTCGGAGTGTCGGGGAAAAGCATACCCCTCAAAATGAGTAAGTGTTTTACTTGTTACTGGGAGAGAGCGAGAGCGAAGCGTGTTACTGTCTAGTGGCTGCTGTATTGGGGTGGTGGGACGAGGTTTACCAATAGTAAGATCCTTTCTGTTAACCAGGACTGGGTAGTTCATAAAGGAAAGGCTTTTCATGGTGCCCGTTTCATGGTGCCCTTTTTGTTGTGGAGATATAAGGGGAAAGGCATACCACAGCAATAAAAGAGCAGAAGTTAAATGGCTCTGCAGGGACCTGTGGCAGGGAAAATGGCAGCAATGTGGGCAGAACCTGGAAATACTTCCTCACCCACATGGCAGCCACCCCGGTTTTGCTGCAATCTTTCCCAAAACATCGCAGCAAAAGTGGGTTTGGGAAAGAATGCAGAAAAGACAGGGAAAACCTGGGATATGCTTGGAAGGACAATGATGCTGAGGGGAACCGGGGTGGGTGGGTGGCATTTCCCAATGGCATCCAAAGAACTAATGATAACTCCACCAGTACAATCAGCACTGCTGTAGTAAATGTGTGTATAATTTTTGGTGTCACCATCATAGGTAACTGGGTAATGTGTTCCCCTCTGTTCCCATGTTCAGAACAGTGTCAGAATGGATCTTTCACTTATTACAATTTGCATTTTTAAATATATGAAAGCATGCACACATCTACCTATCTTTCCACAAAGTCCTTTAAAGTGAAGAAAAATGGCAAGGGGATTTGTTAATCTCGCCCTCGCATCTTGGCATGGAATAATGGGTTTTCCTCCCTCATTTTTCTTCATGTTTTCCTTTAGGTGTGAAATTAACTAGCAGCCCAAAAAAGGGGGGGAAAGCCAGTGTACAATGCAAGAAGCAAAAAAGAAAACACCACTGGCAAAAAATGAACACACAAGCAAATAAGCAAGTATATAATAATCAATTAAGCATAACAGCAAATATAATATCACTCAATTGGCCAAAGTGCAATAATAAAGCATAATAGAAACAGAGTCACAGTCTTTCCATGTATCTACTCCAGCATAGAAGCAATATCAGAGTCGAAATTGGAGTGCAAGTCATCAAATTTTCTGAGCCATAAAAAGCCGATGCGTAATCCGGATGCCTGATGCCGCGTTTCGAATAATTTTCATTCAAGCATGGCTGTAATGGGACCCAGTCTCAAAAGCTGGCATATACTAAGCCAGAATGGTCAGTAAAGGAGGAATAAGGGTCCCCCCTGGGCTCATTTTTTGCCAGTGGTGTTTTCTTTTTTGCTTTGTGAAATTAACTAGGCCAATGGTGACTTAGGCCTGGTCTAACTGATTTCACCAGTTTTCTGACTTGTTTGGGAGAAAGCTGTTGTGATTAGGATAGGAATGAGCAATCTTCTAGCCCAAAGAAGAATGGATTCCTTTCTCTGTTTCTGGGCACCAATTCTGGCGGCCCTGTGCTAAGAGGGAGTTTGCTCCCATTGGTCTACGCCAGGGGGTCCCCAGTCCAGTTTCCAGCATCTCCAGCTAAAAGTGGCAATTGATGGGAAAGACCTCTGCTTAAGAGCCGGGAGCACTGCTGCCAGTTCGAGCAGGACTGACAGTCTGATTCAGTCAGGGGTCGTTTCATAGGGAAAAGAGCTAGGGGAACTCATTAGCATAACTCATTAGCATATGCCACACCCCCTGACATCACCGGAAGTGTGTCATAAGGCCACACACCCCGCCCCCAACGGTCCCGGCCGCTGCCGGCGGCCTTGCAGCTCCACTCCCGAGCCCCATGAGGGGCCCGGCGGTGGACCTGCAAGGCCGGCGGGAGTGCGAGGAAGCCCTACGAAGGCCCTCCCTGGCCCCAGGCAGGCAGGGGTGGGGAGAGGCAGGGAGGAAGCAACTTACCCTCCCTCTTCTTCTGCCTCACCACTTCCTGTGGCAGTGAATTCCAAGTGTTAATCACTCTTTGGGTGAAGAAGTACTTCCTTTTATCCGTTCTAACCCAACCGCTCAGCAATTTCATGGAGTGCCCACGAGTTCTTGTATTGTGAGAAAGGGAGAAAAGTACCTCTTTCTCTACCTGCTCTTTCCCATGCATAATCTTATAAACCTCAGTCATGTCACCCTCAGTCATCGTTTCTCCAAGCTAAAGAGCCCTAAGCGCCTTAACCTTTCCTCATAGGGGAAGTGTTCCAACCCTTTTATCAGTCTGATTCAGTATAAGGCCGCCTTGTGCTGTACATTCACGCGTTGTCTTTGCTAAAAATGCCGAATGAGCCTGAGGTGGGTCTTCGCTGTTCACCCCGTTGCTTTCCTAGGCCTGGAAGCAGAGCTGCAGTTGGACCGCATGAAGCAGAAATTTTGGCGAAGGGTTTTCCTGCAGCAAAACAGCCAGTCGAGCCAGGTGTTCCCCCTGGAACTCTCCAGAAAAGTGTCCCAGACCTGTCGAAACATCACGGCTTACCTGCGGGTACGAAGCTGGGCGGAAGGGGGGGCTGTGCAGGAGCGGGGGGGCGGGAGCGACGGCAGCTGTGCGAAGGTCCCAAGCAGACAAAGGAAGAGTCGCTGAGGGCAGAGCGCCCGGCCCTCCCCCTCTGCCCACAGTGGGGGGATCGGCCGCCCTGTGCTCCAGGGCCTGGAATCCGGCTGCCCACATCACAGGACACGGCTGCTCAGTGGCCTCAGCCACTGGAGGAGGACAGCCAGTGTGGTCTAGCTGTTGGAGAGACCCAGGTTCAAATCCACACTCTGCCCTGGAAGCTTTGCTGGGGGACCTGGGGCTGGTCACACTCTGGCAGCTGAACCCCTCAGGGTGGTCGAGAGAATGAAACGGAGAAGTGGAGGTGTTATGTACGCAGACTGCCACCAAGGGTCCGCGGTTAAAGCTTGGTCCCCAAACACATAGGGGACCTCGGATCCTAGTCCACCGGGATTCCACCAATAGCACCCTTGGCGGGAGATTCAAACCCTCCAATGGGGACAGAAGTGTACCGGGTGGAGTGTATATAGTTGGCCTTGCAGGGCCGTTTTTCCTTGTCTTGTTGTGAAGTACAATAAACGCTTATTTTTAAAATAATAATAATTGTTTTTTTAAGTACCCATAGGTACTCTTTTATTAATTTTTTAACTCTACAACAAACAAATCTACACACTACAAACAGACACTCTACTACACATAACGTATATACCAAGAGTGCAGTTACATTATATGCTTATGTGCAATTACTTAATTAATAAAAACTCTATATCAAATACTTTCCATTCTTCTATCTTCTGTGTTCTCAAGTCCATTGCGCTATCCTTGCCTAGTCTTCTATTACATTTGCATTATACCAATCATAAAACTTTTTCCATGTTTTTTGAAATGTCCACTCTTTACTTAATCTCATTTCTAGAGTCAGTTTATCATTTTCTGCTGTTTCAAAAAGTTTATTCACAAACTCCTGTTTCGTTGGTATCACCATAGTTTCCCAATATTTGGCATATAAGATTCTTGCAGCTGTC